ACGGCGAAATCACTGATTCGAAAAAATTCCCATCGTATAGAAATGGAAACACAACGATGATGGCTCAAGATTCAAAATGCGAGAACGCGTAAATAATATACTTATCACTGAATCGAAAGCAGTTAAACAGACAATATATATATATATATATGGAGATATACATTTGTATAAAAGAAAAGAAAAGAAAAGAAAAAAAAAAAGAATTAACAATCAAAGAGACTTACACTCGAGCGGTGTGAATGTGTATGGCAATGTTGTGTATGTGGGTGGGTGGGAGACGCGTGTGTATGACGTGTATGAGGGTTCGCCTCGGAGCACCAGCCGAGCAAGTAGATGCTTCTGAACAGGCACGCACGGAAGAGCTTTTGCCGGTGGAATGTGGAGTCCGCGACGGCTTGAGCGGCTCTGAAGTCCTGCGATCAGGGCCTGGACACCACCAAGACTCGGAACGATGCCTACACGGCCGACTCGGGATCGCTCCCTTTCATTTAGCTATTAATAGAAAGGAGATCCACGTCTGTGGGCCGCGAGCGTGATACGATCCTGGCACGCTACTATTTTCGTACTCCTTCTACAGTGCCCGTGCCGTGGATCTCGTTCCCGTGGGCCCCTTCCGCCGCCTGCCTCCCGCCCCCGCAATCATCCATGGAGGTTGTTTGGGAGTGGAGGGAATAGGCGAATTTTGAATATCTCGATTAGGAGAGCCAAATCCCTCGATCGCCAGAGGGAGCTTGTTTACTCCCTGGTTATTCTTTTAATCTTATCTTTCGTTTCTAAGTTTGCTAAGAATTGGAGATTCTTGGTTGAGAAGGTTGGGTTTTTCCCATTTCTTCTTCGTTAAATATTTTGTTTTGGAACGTATGTTCGATTATACGAATACGAGTGTTTGAGTTTAGAGTACGATTAATCTAACACTTTTTATTGGAATATTAAATATTGAATAAGTAATTGTAATTCTTGTAACGATTTTAAAAATTTTGCATGATTTCATCCTAATGTTTCGATTAATCTCAGAATAATTAAATTATTACCTACGATTAATGAATTATTACCAACAATTGATATTAAACGACTAGATAATAATTAACTTAATTAATTTCAACATGATTATTAAATTATTACATATGATTAAAACAATTCAATAATTCAATAGGTATTTCTAAACATTAATATTGAATAAGCAGATATATATACTCTTGTTATTCCATTTTGAAATTCGATTCAATTTATATATAATATTTTAAATTTATTTTAATATTATTTTAATTATAATTCAATAATTAATTAAAATTCAATATTTCTAAACATTAATATTGAATAAGCAGTTATATATACTCTTATTATTCCATTTTGAAATTCGATTTAATTTATATATTTTAAATCGAACATGTGTACTCATCATAAGATTCACAATTTGCCATTCACAGTTTCGAGTTAACACAAATGCACACAATTTCCTAACTCGATGGTAATTACCTGAATTCCCAAAGAGTATGAGCGAGTAGAGTATCCAAGAGTATCCACGGTCATTTAAAAATAGCTATTTATTCGAACGTTATACCGTAACCACTCGCGAATCTTTCCATGTTTCTTTCATTTTACATTTATTTCCATTCATGGTTAGGCGCCAAGAAAAGGAAATACAGGGGTGTGATTTTAGTGGTTAGAGCGAGTTCGTGATAATCTCGAGTTCGTAATTGTGCGTTTGAGCAGGAGGAGAGGAGAAAGAGAATGGAAGAGAAATTTAGAGAGAAAAAGATAAAAAATGAAAATTACAGCGAATTAAAAAATGTCTATGTTTATATACATGTATATATACAGGAGGAAAAGCATCTCGAAATATCCGTCGATGTTATTCAGAATATGAATTCTGGTTTCTCGAGTAAAATTTAAGATACGAAATATAATATTCGAGATAAAAATTCGTATAAAATTTTACTTAGAAATATGGCTCTCTTATTAATAAAATCTGTCACGATGTTGCACGCAATGTGATTATTTTTTCCAATCGTGCGAAACGTGTTAATGCAGAGCTATAACGGAGTATGTATTAATGCAGAACTAACGAATTGTGGGGCACAATCTTGTTACGAATTGATATTACGTGCTTTTGCAATTCAAATCGTAGAAAATGGTAAAATTCGCGTTTTTCTATCTAATAATCTAGTTTCTTTTGTCATTGCATTGCGTTTGATTCATTCGATGATATTTTTTATGTAATTCGATCAAGATATCTTCATGATATTTTATTTTAGTTATTAAGTTTTTAATTATTTAAAAATTATACGATGAATTTTATTAGAATCAAATTATTTGACTTTTGTTTATTCTTTTATAAATATTTTATTTTTTAAATTTGTCTCAATGTGACCGAATATGAAAACCATGTTCTCCAAAGTTGAAATCCAAAAAACTTTTATCAATATGATATTAAATAACATCGAATTATAAAATAAAAATAAAAAACTAATATTACAAGTTTCAAGAAAATTTCGATTCGATCCTCGTTCCTTTTTAAGCAAAAATTATTTCTGCATATGCTAGAATGAAAACAAAATTTTAAGATACATTTTTTTTTGCGAGTAAGTTATTTCTGACGCTGATACAGCTATATTATATCTGTCTTGTAGTCGTTTCATGTTCAACCTCGCCATTGGTGGAAAGTTTACTGCCCACTGGTTTACGTGGACATGGTCACTAAATATACATGTATTTACCCTCGAGCAATAACAACATGAAGTTTGTAGCAATTCCTTCGCTTAAATTCAACGCATACCTTTGGAATACTAAAAATTAATATAATCATTATCGCAAGTAATATACGAAATATAATTTATTCACTGGCAATGATATATGATTATATATATTATATAAATAAAATATCTTTTAATCAAAGAATATTTCATTTCATTCATAATGATTTTTTAATTTGTTTCGTTAATTGTAAATGATTATATATGCTTTTTGATATAATATAAAATTTTAATAAAATTATCTATATATTATCAAACGAAATACAAATAAAATAGAATTTTGTAATATTAAAGAAATAAAAAAGAGATATGATAAATATAGAATGAGTAAAAAAATATATACATATAAATATTTCAAAAGAATGTATAAAAAATTTCTATAATATTTAAAATCATTTTCTGATGAAATGTTAATTAAATCTTTTACTTGTTTCAAAACTAATAATTACTATGGTGAACAAATTAATATGGCTACAATAATACAATATATATTCAAATACATTGATGTAATAATAAATTAATAATATAAAATTCAAATAATATAAATAGTCAATTAAAAGAAAAAACTGCTCGCAAAATCTACACAATATCTTGTATATTCGGCTCTAGCAATGATCGCGTACGAGTTACTACTCCGGCAGCTGTGTCCGTGAATAAAAAAAGCATTAGGGACGCAGCAAATGCTATGTTGTGCAAACGAGAGCAGCGGCCGAGCAGACGAAATAGGAGTCGCGATAAACGAATGTGGGTTGCCCCTCTGAGACCTTGGCGATGGTAGAGGAGACAGAGTGAGAAGAATCGAGGAAAGAGGCTACCTTATCAGAGTCAGCCTGGAGGCTTAAACTTCGTCCGCGTGGCCGACGTCGAACCACGATGTGGCTCCATATATGGAGGGGGCCATGCTAGGGAGAGGGTGCTACAACGCTCGGGTATAAAGTTCCACGACGCTAACGACATCGCTTCACACCGCGCCAGAAAGCTTGAATCCCTTGGCTTAGTCGTTCTGTTGATGATCGTTGCTGATAAATTGTGCGTACGATGTCTCTTAATCTTTCGTACGCCCGCTCAATTCGAAGAATTTAAGCTCTGTCGAAATTTTAATACGGCATTCTGAATATACATCATGAAAATATAAATTTCCAGTAATTGAAAAGTTTGAATAATATTATTTTATTATTATATTTCATTTTCAAATAAAAAAAAAAATTTTTTATCCGATTCAATAATGAAAGTTCCATAATAAATTTAAAATAGATTTAATTTCATTCAAAAATTAATTTCATTCATTCATAAATTCGTTGTGATTTATGTACGTATTTGCTAACATACTGAACATTATTAATCATAAGATGTTTCAATTTTTTTCCAATAAAACTATTAAATTAAATTCTCGTAATTTTATCGATTAAATTGATTCGACGTTAATAATTTAAACATAAAATTAAACGATGAATTTTATTAGAATCAAATTATTTGACTTTTGTTTATTCTTTTATAGATATTTTGATAAATGATCTTGTAAGAATAGAGAATTATGTGATAATTGATAATTTGATAATTTTTACTAAAATTGAAATAGATTATTTTTTATTTTATATAAAATTATCATTGTTTTTTTTTAACGTTTCTGATTTATTTTAAAATGTTTTTCTGTTTTAAATGTATTATGTTGTTTTCGAAAGTGAATGTAACATAATTCACAAAGAATTTTGGCATCCACTACAATTTATGCAATGTTAAAAAAATTTCAAATAATTTTAAAGTTTAGAAATCATGTTTTATAAAAATGTAAATGTAGTAAACATGTAATAAAAAAAAAGTGTTCTACTGAAATTCGAAAATATTATTTTTGAAATTTATATTATTTCATAAAATAGATTTTATTGAGAAAGTATTAAAAACATGTTTCATTAAATTTTCTTATTTCTTAATTTTTTATTTATAAATAAAATTTGTATATTTATAATATTTACAAATTAAAAACATTTTTACAAGAATTGTTATATAAAATATTTTGAAAACAAATATTGAATAATAGTAAATTGTTTCATAATACATTAAAATTGTATTGTTCCTAATGTCTTTATAAAATATATACTTTATATACTTTATAAAATACATAGATCTTAAATATTTATATTGGATACAAGTCAAAATTGCAAAATTTACGGAAAAATCTTTCAATAAGCAGTAAAATATTACATGATAATATTTTTAATGTTTCATTTATGATTTTTAGATATAAAATGAAACTTACAAAAATAAGATTAAAATATAAAATTTTAATGACGATGATGATGATGATAATGATGATGGTGATGATATTGATGATGTGTATGATGATGTGTATGTTCTTGATGATGATGATGAGACCTTATTATATTAGGTACAATTGGTTTTTTGAAAGGTCTATCTCTTCCACCAAATCTAAGTTGACCCGATTCCTTTTTACCACCAAAACCACCACCTATAAGATTATATATTTAATTATATTTAATTAAATTTTTAAAAATTTTAAATTTAATTAACTAACACTTATTTATAACATATATATTTATAATACAAGGTTACAAATAAATACAATATGATTAATTACCAAGTCTTCTTGGTTTCCATCCTTTCAAAGTGCGTCCACACTCATAATCTATAAAAATTTGATAACCTTTTAATGTAGCATCAACACAACGTCTAAGTACTCTTCTAGCTTCATCTTCGCTTCTCATTTCTACAAATCCGTAGCCTTGAGATAATCCAGTTACAATATCAACTATAACTTTTGCCGATATGACCTCTCCATATTTAGAGAAAAACTAAATCAATGTTTAAAATTATATTTAAATTATATATTTGTTATATTAATAAAAATTATTATTAATATAAAAAATTATTATTATACCTCTTTTAAATCATGTTTTGTAATTTTTGGACCAAATCTAGCAACGAATAATGTTCTTTCTGGTTTTGATTTTAAGCCATGAGGAGATTCATAATGCGCTTGTATCGCACGGCTAATAGCTTTATCATGTGGTTCTGTATCTGTACCATCAATACTACCTGCTTTTAAAGGATCATATTCTTTGGCAAATGGACTCCAATTTTGTAATGTATTCGTCTAAAAAATATATATATATTATATATATGTATATATTATATTATATTATATTATATTATATATATTATATTATATAATATAATATATTATATATATTATATTATATTATATATATAACATTTTAAAAAATATTAATAATTTAAAGTAAAGAATATTTATGTATTTCAAAACATAACCTTCAAAATTATATAAATACTTCATACAAATAATATTTCAATGTAAAATTAATATTTTAGTTTTTAATAATAAAAATGATTTATTTTCTATTATAAAATATTATTTACTTACCATTTTTAGACAAATTACAATAAATATTGACAACAACTATTTAAATTAGAATAAAGATTAGTGCTGTCAAATTATATAGTTCAATACATATTTCATATACATATAATTATATTCAATATATATTATATTTTTAATTTCTATTTATAATTATTAATATTTTCTAAAAATGTTTAGAAAAATACAATATAACTTATATACAACGACAAGAATATCGAATAACAATATAACATAATAATATACTATTACCATAGACGAAATAATAGAATAGATTTAACATCTTATATTTGATTTTTTTTTATGTTCTGAAATATCAATTGTAAAAATATTAGAATATTTATAATAATGTTTAATATATCTTATTTTATACACATATTTTAACGTAAAATACTATAAAAAAACGAAATATAATAATAAATTTAAATACAATAAATCATAAACATACAAAATTTTATTTATATTTATAAGAATTTTTAAAAACATTTTTTAATTGTTCAAAATAAAATTGTCCAAAAATTATTAGTTTAAACCTATTTTATTAGTAGATATCTTAATAGTATTTTAGTATCAGTAAATCAAGTAAAAATAAATTTGATAATAGTTAAGACTCTTATCTCAATTTAAATATTTATTATAATAAATGTTTATTTATTATAATATGAATCATTATTATACAATGAATCAATATTATAATTATTATAAGACTAGTATAGTACTAAAATATATGACATAGAGTTATTTTTTGTTTATATTAATTATTTATTGTAATTTTTTGTGAAATATATTATACAATATAATAATTTTGTAATTATACATTATATATTATACATAATATTATTACATAATATTTTAATAATTTCTTCATTAATATAATTTGTTTTTTAAAAATTTATTTAATTTATCATAAACATTTATCTAAATATATTTATATATATATAAATATTCATATAAATTTTTATCGTTTAAAGTAATTTTTGTTTAAATAATAATTTAGGATTTTAATTTTTTACAAAGAATATAGATTAAATTCATAAATATTAAAAATATTTATAAATAATTATTAAGAATAATATCTAGAATTTTCTTATAAAAATGTGATAATTATAATTGTTTCTCATATTCGATTATAAAAGTAATATTTGAAACTTTTATATTTCAGAAAATATTATTATTATTTATTATTTGAAAATATTATTATTATTCATTATCTAAATAAGCTATATTCAATACGTTATTACGCGACATCTGTATATAATTTACATGAAGGTTGCTTTGCAGAGACATCTGACAGTACAAGTCTTCGACTTTTAGTTGGTATTCGATGAAGTTGTTTCGACGTGAATAATTAAGAAAAATGAACGTTGTTGCAAAATCGACAAATTTCTTACCACTTTTAAAATCGACATCTGTCATTTCAAATGGAATGCAACCAGTAACCGGAAGGGGTATTGTAGAAAAAACAAAAATTATTACTAAATCTGACGTCAAGCGAATTCTCGTTCAAAGTTTGCATGAATCTCTTATTACAGGAGCTCTACGAGTGAGTTCAGGAATTGGAGGTTCGAAACTTTTAATTCAAAGTTATTTTATTAACTTTTGTATTTATTTCATCAAAATTCATTTTATATTTCGATTATATAATCATATGCTGTATTCAGTACTTGCATACTTACTGCTAGATTAGATTACTGTTATACCAATTGAGTTTCTAAATATTGCATAAATCTTTTTGCGTTTAGAAACTAAAAAAAAATATTTATAAACTTATATATATATATATACATATTAACTAAATTATATATATAAACTTAATTATTTCTATTATCTTATTTCATATAGTACAGTATATATTAATTTGAAAGCAAAGATTTGATCGAATTAATTATTGCAGCCAGTTTATTAGCAACGCAGAGGAGGTTAGCACATTCTGATATTCAATGGCCAGATTTTAGTGATTATCGTCATGAAGCTGTACAAGATCCAAAAAGTAAAAGTAAAGAAAATTCAAGTAACCGCAAATCATTTGCATATCTTATGACAGCTGGTAAATAAATCTTTTAATTCTTTTTATTTTATTTCAATTTTACAGAATAAAATTACATAGAAATATAAATTTTGATATTATTATATAGCAACTGGAGTTACTGGTGCTTATATAGCAAAATCAGCCATATATGACTTAGTAGCTACATTTAGTGCTTCAGCTGATGTACTTGCATTAGCAAAAATTGAAATAAAACTTGATGCTATTCCTGAAGGAAAAAGTGCTGTCTTTAAATGGCGAGGAAAACCTATATTTGTACGACACAGGTAAATATTACTGATTATTTTTTGTATCATTTTTTAAATAATATTTAACTGAATTAAATATAAATTTTTTTTTTTATATGATAATAGGACAAAAAAAGAAATTGAAAAAGAGGCAGGAGTTGATATTAAGACTCTTAGAGATCCAGAAGTAGATTTAGATCGTGTAAAGCAGCCACAATGGCTGATTGTTTTGGGTGTATGTACACATTTAGGATGTGTTCCAATTGCAAATGCAGGTGATTTTGGTGGTTATTATTGTCCTTGCCATGGATCTCATTATGATGCCAGTGGCAGGATTAGAAAAGGACCAGCTCCATTAAATTTGGAAATACCACCTTATAACTTTATCGATGATAGTACAGTAGTTATTGGTTAATATATTAAAATATGTAGTGAAATGATAAATGTAATTTATATCAAATTGTTTTACAAAATTCGATTTTTATTTGTAAATTTTTTCCTAGAACTATTACTATGTTGAAATAAATGAAATATAAATAAAAAATTTAAGTTAATTTATATAATAGTTTTTCTATTTTTTTATTTATAATTAAATTTCATTAATTTTATCAATACTATTATAATTTAAACTATTTTATAATTATTTTATTTTTATATCGTAAAAACATATTTTTATCTTTTTTAATTAGATAAAATATTCAATACAATCACATATTTTTCAATAATTCGTTCTACTATAATTATAAGATAATCATTTATAAATAGAAAGCGTACTTAAATTCTATAATAAAGGAAGCATTTCTTATTATAAAGATCTTAAAAATCAAATAAATTTTCCCGCTTCCGCGAGACGGCGCCACTAATTCCGGACCAAATTTTCATTTTCAATGCGTGATAAGGACGTCTATGTGACCGACAATCTGGCTGCCGATTCTCTGTTTTCAGTTGCCTTCGCTGCTGGCAGCGTACGGACGAAAGAGTTAAGAGTTTTTCGCGAAAATCGGTTCTTTTACATACATTGTCATCTTCTCGCCACTCTTGTATATGATGATCCAAAAATCCCTAATCCTACAACAAGTGATTTCGGTGACCTAGTATTTAAAATAAGAATGAAAATGTTTTGTTAAAAATGAATTTTTTTCTCGCATGGTACCGGCATTTAATGATATGTCGCGAAAGGGTTAGAATAATTTTTAACATCTCAAATTAAAAGAAAATTTGGAAAGTTAAGAAAAGGAAGAATACGAAAAGCAGAAAGGCGGGAAACGGATGCGTGGAAAACCGATTTTCGTAAGTTTTTATTTGATACATATATTCAATACCTTATAATTTCACTTATAAATCTTATTTTTTTTCTATATTATTATTTTAATATATGCTTGTTATTATTAATTTTCATATCATGATATATCATGATATGAGTTATCATCATAAAAATTTAAAATGATTATAAAAAAGAATATGAATAAAGAAAAACATGTAAAATATAAATATAATTTAAATTTTTACAATAAAATTTTTTAATTTTCATGTATTTATTTATAATAATGTAATACAAAAATTTATATTATTTATTATTATATTATTTATTTTTATAAAATATATATATTTTTATAATTCTTTTTAATGTTATATGAGAATATAATATAATTATTACATATCATAATATTAAAATTTATATGTAACAATATTTTAGAATAAAAAATTATATTTTAATTATCACACAAACATATTTAAAATTTAAGTGACATTATAATAAAATAATGAGATTTTCCTTGAATATTTTACAACGTATTCGATAACCAATCGTTGCTTGAATGGATTTCAATATACAATTTCTCATCGCACAAATTGACCCTTACGACAACCTAGAACAATTGTTTTCGTAACCTTAACGGTGACATATGTTTGTGTTTCTGCATGTTTGGTTCCACTGAGTACGATGACTCTTGTACATTCGAATCATACTTTGCATCCTGCTAACGGTTCGAATAGGAATCTCATAGTTTTTGCGACACCATTTCTGTACCTTTCGATTCATGTAAACAAATATAAGATCGAAACGTTATTATTCTAAGATTGTTTCTGCATATTAAAATTGATTTGCTATCCTATCATATATTTACGCGTATCTATTTTTTATTAATATAAATAATTGATACACATAATAATTGATTTAACTTGATCAATAAGATTAATTTGATTAATAACTTGAAATTGAAATCTATATTATATTTGGAATTTAGTATTTGGGATTCAGAGCAAGAATTTAGATATTATTTACAATTAGTAAAAAATATTACATTATTAAATATATTTACAGAGAAATTATTTTAAATATATATCATTAAATTAAATCTTATTTTTTCTTTGCATAATAATTTGCATAATAATTCATATAATATTATACTTATATAATTTTTCAATCTCAAATTATTTTCTATAGAAATATCTAAATTTCCACTTTCGATTTCTTTTCAACTATATGATACGACTATATAATTTCATTTCGAATTAGACCAACAATTATCGATATTTTATATACTATTACATAAGATTCACTTGTCTCTCTTCCTACGCACATTAAAGTACTTATTTGTTCATACTCAATGTCTTCGAAAGAGCCGTATTTTTCGTTGCCTCAGTTAATTACCCATCTCGATGACATAGGACAACCTGGTTCAACCAACAAAGGCAATAAAGTTGTTCTTGCTCGCCAGTTCCGTGCACTTTGTTATTCAACCTCGAAAAGCGGTGTCTCTCTGTGTCGATCTGGTTTATTGTTTGCAAAGCCGATGCTTACCCTCCAAGATTTTGAATACGCAACATCGTGAAGCATAGTTGCAAGTGCAAAGCCGCGTTGAGCATTTAGGACATGACGTCCCTCACCCCTATGCCTCCTTTTTTTTTTATCCTATACCTTTATATAAACTGCCGGTGTGCGCGTTCTGGCATTCTAATTCTTTATGCAGCCGGCCAAGGAAATTCATAGTAGGAATGCACGGAAGGGAGGTTGCAAAATCCAGTTCCCCCCTCTTTTTTTTCTTTTTTTTTTTTTTTTCTTTTCCTTTCCTTCCTTCTTTAAGCTAAGTACGGGAGAAAAGGGAAAGGGAGGGGAAAGAAAGAATGAAGGAGAGAGGCCGTTTTGTGCCCTGCATTCAACTATCGGGACGCACTCGGTTGTGCGTGTGTATGCACACGTAAGTACGCCACGCAACAAGCCACGTGTCCATGTACTGCCGGCCGGGGAAAACGCGCGAGTGCGTGCGTGCGTGCGCGCTTCCGAAAGTGAGTGGGACACGCGGGCCTTCACGCTGAAGGAGAATCAATAGATGTGCGTTGCATCTTGCCCCTCTTCCTCCCTTTTTCGGCTACCCCGCGCACACCCTTCTCTCTAACCACTGACGACTCGACCTTCGCACGAAAGCGCCCGCTTCTGGACGTACAGCTTCTGTTTTCCTGTACCTCCTTTATGTTATTTCCTCTTAAGGGATGCAATTCACCGCGTTTCTTCTTTTTTTTTTTTCGTATTTTTAAGAAGAATTTTCTTTTTTGGACGGATTCGATATATCGCTTTATCGAAAGAAATTTGATGTCTTTTTTTCGAGTTAATAATTATTCGATTTGAAAGTCATAGATTTTTAAGATTTTATAAAAATTAACAATGAAAATATGTTTTTTGTTTAATACAGTTTCATAATAATTAATTATGCATATATATGTAAAAAATTAATGTGTAAATTAGCATTTTTAAATTAGTATTAATCTAAAAATAATATAATATTGTATCATTAATTTTTAATTCAATAAATCTGTTTTATAATTATATAAATTTTCAAATTTATTTTCACATAAAAAAATATTTTAATTTTTCGAATATAACATAAAAATTTATATAATATTTTTTTCAAAATTATGTTTATACTTAATCATATAGAATAATATAGAAAATTTTCGATTTTAAAACTAAACAAATCGCTATAATTTTGATCAAAATTCATATCTTTAAGATGAAATCAGCTATTCATGTTGGACAATTTCCACGATTTCATCAATATCATTGATCGATTTTACACATCACTTGCCCTTCTCGTGTCTTACTATACTACCCTCCTGTTATACGGTAGATCTTATCGACTTGAAACTATACACGTAAATCAAGATACAGAAGTGGATAAACAGCAATCGCTGTGTACTTTGACAAAATAGAGTGACTTCGACCCTATGCTTGGATTGTAGATTCAACGTCGACATTAGTCGGTTACATCGATTAAAAATATATGAATACCTGTTCACAGGACAGTCATTTCGTACGAATAGTGAATTATTTAATCGAGAAATTGTTTAATGCTCACTTTATTTTTCTCTCTAATTCATTCTTCTACATACATATAATATATTTTTCTCAATAATTGTTATATAGAAAATTTTTTATTTATGTTAATATGTTATTTATGTTAATATTTATATAAAAAAACACAATTTATTTTTTAGCATAATTTATATATAACATGATACATTCTGTACGTACACAAATCGATTAAATCATTTAATGTTATTTATTTAATACAATTATTACACAGCATATTTGATTTTATGTTTGAATTTATGTACCTAATTATTTTTTTCAATTAACCTTTAAAGGTTATCATAAGTGAAATTTAATTCCAAGCAAATATTTTCATAGAACTTTTTTCGATGACAATTTTTAAGAATTAATAAAAAATGTAAAAAAATGTTAATTCATAGAAAAAATTATTTAAAATAAAGCAAAAAAGGCAAATTCACCAATGATTGAAATTAAAAATTATCTATTTGTTGGAATTATGTATCAAATGATAAAAATTGATTTATCTAATATGTAGTAACAATCTAAAACATGATATAAAAAAAGAATTGATTGACAAGATTTTTTTCTCTTCATTCGTTTCCTGCAATTGAATGCATCGCAAAACGCATAATAACGCACGTGTAACAACGTATCCCGCGTATTTATTGATCTATCTCCTCGCGTTTATCTGTGTACCGCAGCCTTCAAGTTCGGAGGGTTGCACAGGGTGCAACCTTTAACGCGAGTATATACACATATATATATATATANTATATGCACGGAAGACCAGCAACAGGGTTACTACGCCAACCTCACAACGGTTGGCGCGAATCTCCTTAGACGAAACTAGTTTACGAACTAGCTTCGCCCATTTCACGTTACATCTAATCTTCTTCTTTCACCGTTCCCAACATGCAATCAACTCCTTTCAACTTTCTACTTTAAAAAAAAAAAACAAACAGACTTAGAAAAAGTAATTATCTTTCAACGTGAAATCATCGAAAGTGCAAGAAGGAAGCTGTTAAAAGTTGCATCCAGCAACAAGAAAAGGGAAAAGTGGATGGAAAGTCGTTCGGAAGGAGATCGAAGCAGAGGGCCGTGAAAAAAGCGGTGAAAGCGAGCGCGTGTAATCGTAATACGCGCGCGAAGCGTATTTGAGAAACGAAGAAAGCTCGGGGGAAGGGAGGGTGAATGGGTTAGACGAAGGAGAGAGAGCGAGAGAGAGAGAGAGAGAGGGAGGGAGGGAGGGAGGGAGAAGTGGAGAGTAGAGGGCACAGGTGAAAGTGAAGCGAAGGTGGTCGAGTTAGAGCGGTGTTTGGGAGGGTGAAAGGAGGTTAATGATTAGTTCTTCCGAGGTCGGGGGCTGTTGCCGGGTGCAGGTTGCCTGGCTCCCTTCAGACCGCCCCCCACCGCCCCCGAGGACATCACCCCTCTCGTCCCTCCCTGGCTCCCTCCCGGTTTTTCGCCCTTCAACCCCCACCCCCCCCCTCCCCACCCCCGCCCTCCGTACACTCCTCGAACCTCCCAAAATTTCAGATCCTACCACCGACGCAGCTCCACGCATATCGAGGGAGGGTGTGAGAGCTTGCAAGGTTGTTCTCCCCTCCAAACTCGCCGCTGCTCTACCTTCAGGAACGTAGGTAGGCAGGGCGCGAGGAATTTCGGTAAGCTGCTTCGAAAAATTTTCTCCCCGTGTTTTCGCTTCGGTGTACGGACAGGTGCATCCGTGTCCGTTCTTGGCCAGGAATGAAAAATATATAACGGGGAGGGGGGATCGCGGTATGCGAAACATTACCTTAATTATCGAACGATTCCAGCTATGCGAGTTGTGTGGGGAGGGGGGGGGGGAGGAGGAGGGGGAGCGAAGTAGGGGATCGCGATGCGTCGCGTTTCATATGGCTGTTCTGTTGAATTTTTATTTTTTGGAGAATGAATCGAGGGGGTTGGGTTGTATCGATATGATTTTTGGGTTGATTTCGTTCTCGTTTACGTTTAATGCATTGGGATGTTTATAGTTTTATAAAAAAAGATATTTAATAAAATTACGATGAATCGTTGAACGAATGATTCATTTATTCGTCCAAAAGTTTATTATCGTATTTCTGATGTCAGATATAATTTATTTTTTTTTTTTTCGTGGATAATACATTTTTATACGATTGGAAAATTAAATTTTTATAAACTAATGAATTATAAACTAAAGAAATGGAGTTTAAGATTTATCTTATTCTTCGTGAAATCGTAAAATTATACTTTATAATTTAAATAATTAATAATTTAAAATTTATATAATAATTTTGATTCTTTTATATTATATAGAATATCACAAAAGAATATGACGAATTTAGGAAATCTTTAATTTCGTAAAATTATACTTTATGATTTAAATAAATAATTAATAATTTAAGATTTTGATTTTTTTGTAATTTGTATATTTTACAGAATATCACAAAAGAATATGACGAATTAGGAAATCTTTAATTTCGTGAAATCCTAAAATTATACTTTATAATTTAAATAAATAATTAATAATTTAAAATTTTGATTTTTTTGTAATTTGTATATTTTACAGAATATCACAAAAGAATATGACGAATTAGGAAATCTTTAATTTCGTAAAATTATACTTTATAATTTAAATAATTAATAATTTAAGATTTTGATTCTTTTGTAATTTGTATATTTTACAGAATATCACAAAAGAATATAACGAATTAGGAAATCTTTAATTTCGTAAAATTATACTTTATAATTTAAATAAATAATTAATAATTTAAGATTTTGATTCTTTTGTAATTTGTATATTTTACAGAATATCACAAAAGAATATGACGAGTTAAGAAATCTTTAATTTCGTGAAATCATAAAATTATACTTTATAATTTAAATAATTAATAATTTAAGATTTATATAATAATTTTGATTCTTTTGTAATTTGTATATTATATAGAATATCACAAAAGAATATGACGAATTAGGAAATCTTTAATTTCGTGAAATCGTAAAATTATACTTTATAATTTAAATAATTAATAATTTAAAATTTATATAATAATTTTGATTCTTTTATATTATATAGAATATTACAAAAGAATATGACGAGTTAGGAAATCTTTAATTTCGTAAAATCGTAAAATTATACTTTATAATTTAAATAATTAATAATTTAAGATTTATATAATAATTTTGATTCTTTTATAATTTGTATATTTTACAGAATATCACAAAAGAATATGACGAATTAGGAAATCTTTAATTTCGTAAAATTATACTTTATAATTTAAATAATTAATAATTTAAGATTTTGATTCTTTTGTAATTTGTATATTTTACAGAATATCACAAAAGAATATGACGAGTTAGGAAATCTTTAATTTCCCTTTTTTTTTATTTTGAACAATGGAGATGCACACAGAAGACACATAAGGATAATTAATGTGTGTATGACAGAAACTGTCGACGCGTGAAACAAATGTTCCTTCTGGAATCACCTGGTTAATCCGACTAACAGAAAGCGCTTGGCGTACGAATCTCCAATGCACCAATCTTCATAGTTGAAACGATTGAAAAATACCTATGAGCTTATCTTATACATTACAAGCAATTTAAGCAGATTCCCAACACCTTTCCGCTTCGATACCTCGAAGGGAACCGCTTCCCCGCATCTGTTGATCGAAATTTCAATCTAGATCGATGATCCTTATTCTCAAAACCAATCCAATCCGCGATCAAACGCATGTATTTTTCGTTCGTGGATCCGAATGGAATATCGAAACGAAACCTAGGAACACACAACTTATAAATTCTCCAAAATCGTATATATACGTCGACAAATGTAAAGCATCGTCTATTGCATAGCAACGGTGTGTATTTCGTCGATTCGACGCGTCGCCATTTCGTTCCATCCTCTTTTCCTCTTACGCGCTGGCCAAATTATCTTATCGATTCAGGGAAAGAGCTCGCCTTTGACCGGTCGGTTCGCCATTCGTGAACGGCGCTCGTAACGAGTTCGCCTGACCACGTTCGAACGACGGTACTCTCACACGTAAAAAGGGAGAAAGAAACAGAGAGAGAGAGAGAAAAGAACGAGGAGAAGAAGAAGAAAAAAAAAAGGAAGGAAAAGTTGGACACGCTCGCCCTTTGCAACGTCAGCCCTGGCCGCCCTCGTAACGGGCCGAGGATTTTCTAGCGAAAGTGATGGCTGTGGCTGGCCGGTTGCTGCTTGCGTAGGAAAACTGACTCCGGGGGTGGTTGTGCGTCGCTCGAGGTTGGAGGCGGTTGTTCCTCCACCTTGAACGCGAGCCGCTCGAGGTGGCCGCGGGGGTGGGATGGCAGCCGAGGCGGGGGTGGATGAGAGAGAGGGGGTGCGCGGTGGGGAAAGGGGGGAATCGGTAACCTTGCAACCCTCTTGCGTACGCGGAGGAAGGGGAAGTGACAGGAATCCCGGGAGGAGCGGTGGGTTATGGGTTGAAGGCAGTCGAGGGTGCAGCCGCACGGGGCGGCAGTGACGGGCGTGACGTAGTCGGAGGAGGATGTACGCCCCTGTCGGCGAGGGCCACGGCAACCAACAACCATCCCTGGTCAATTCATGGTGGCTTCATCCGCCAGGTACCAACCGTGTTCATCTGTTGTTCACATTGCTTCCCGCGTTTTTCTTTTTCAAATTGCCGAAATTTTCCTCGAGATCGCTCCATTCTTCTTCTTCTTCTTGGTTCTTGGGAGGATCTTAGGACAGATGTATTCTCTTTCGATCGACAGAGAAAACCCATCGATGATCGAATTGTACGCGTATAAACCGAGAATGTTAGACGGTACGAGAATTATACGGTGTTGAAATTAACGTGTTAGTTTTATATAATGAATTATGTTAACGTTTGGCTGGCTCCAATAATAACATCTGCGAGAGTATGGTGCTCCATACTGGATGGACCAATTTTTCTGCGACATTTGCGTCGATAGCGTATCATATTTTAATAATATTCTGTTATTTTATCCATTTTATATCATAATTAATGATTAATTTGATGATATAGTATTTAAGATGTGTAATGGTTAGAATTATTTTCGAATCGTTTTTGTAATTTAAATCAATTATATACATTCTGTAATGAACGAATATTTCGAATATTTTCGAATGTATATGCGTACTTATGTATGGCTGCTTTGTTCGGATTTTCGTGAATTAGAATCGGTGTAGTTGGTGGTGATCCATATCGATCGTGATCGGCTACAAGAATATGAAGGAAATTGGATCAGGAATTGGAAATTAGCTTGATTATAATACTTGGATGGTTTGTGTGAGTGATACGTGGATATAAATTGTGCACTTGTGTTATTCATTTTAGATTTTTGTTATTAATTGTTGCAAAAATGTTTTATTTAATCAGTAAACCTGTTGAAATGTTAGAAAAGAATTACCATATGATCTTTATCCTCTTTATCTTACATTTAAACTCAATTTTACAAAAGTAAAAATGATCGTTCTTATTTTTCTATCAACGTTTAAGAGACTTTGTAAAAGTCAGAGTTTTACTAATCCATTGAAAATCATTTAAAATTTCGAGTAAAGTTATTCAAAATTTTATTCTTTATATAACCTCGAACATTTGGCGCCATAATTATCTGCGTTTCGTATTCGAATAATAAATTGTTTTGAATAATAAATTAACGAAGTAACTTTATTCCTAACTTCAATCGTTAAAATTTTATTCACATCTTCTTTAAAAATCTAATTAAAGTTTGATTCTCTTTTTTATAATTTTCCACGAGAGAATGAGATTTCTCATACAATTTTAATTTTCCACATTGCAAGCTTTTTGTATCCAAATTATTCCACCGTCAATTTCTTTATTTTCCCGCTTCGCCAGGAGCAAAGGTTCCACTCCGCGCATTCCCATTAACTGTTCATTTCGGTATAACGAATAGTCTCATGCGCGTTTCACGCCGTGTCACCGTTATGTACATTTACGGTACTCGTACACCACTCGTTTCCTCTATAATCTTATGCAGCGCATGCACGTGCTACGTGCACCTTTCCTGCATGCATGTGCAGTACGAGTAACGGTGCCTGATGAAAAATCACGTTTAACTCGCGATTCCAAAACGAAAAGGCGCACGCATTCTATTTATTCCATCTGTTTACGATTATTACGACTCTCTCGATCCCCAAAAACTCGACCAACTGTTGTTATGTATTTTGCCTTGAAAGGCTATCTTGTCAATGACTTTCGTCCTAGATACGTATTGCCGCGCATTTATTTTACAGGAAAAAAGAGAAACTGTTACTTCAGGAATCGTTTTACTTGCTTTCTTCCAATTTTTGATAGAATATGTCGCAATAAATAATGATTGTTTTCTTTTGCACGAAGTTATTTTTTTCATGTTTTGTTCCAAAGAGAAATATTTTTTTATGTGTGACTTTTCAGATAGATTTTTGTTGTTTATTGTTGTATGAGAAATATTTGTTCATTTTTTAATATTACGATTAAATATACTATATAAATGATGTAAATTATAGTATTAAACGTTGATTTTATGATAAATTTTTTTTTATTTGCTAAAATTGCTACGTATTTATTGAAAAATATATTGCATATTGCTTTCGATGATTATATTTCGTTTCATTTTTCGTCAAATAAAAATTTCATAAAAATACTTTCTTCATATATTTTTTTTCCTTTATTTGATTGCATTTTAATAAATTAAAATAATTTGGAAAACAAAAAACATTATTACGATTTTTTCAGTTTATTCTTTAATTTAAAAAAGTTTGTTGAGAAATATATAAAATCAAATTAATTAATTATTCTCTCTTCTATATTTAATTATTTCGATAAGAGCGATAAACATGCATAAGCATTTCTATTTAGAAATTCCAGAAAAATTAAGAGAACTAACGAAAATACAAAAATTAGGTCAAAATTAAAAAAAAATAATCATCATAAATTAAACATTTATTACATTAAAAGTATTATCATAGATGCATTCAATGATGCATTCAAAGCAATTTTTCATTATCATAATCGATACGATATATAAGAAATTATTTTACAAATTCAAAGATAAATTGAGAAGATATAGGAGCAGACATGGTAAATTGTGTTTAAAATGTAAGATCAACACGGGGAAGACATCAAACAGTAGTACAACTCGTCGTCTAAGAGAACGAAATCCTACAGCTGAGGGCTGTTTGCTCCTTGTTCCCCCCACTCTTCGAATTCCCGTGAAAATTCTCGGGTTTGTGGATCGCACGAATTTCGTCATGGCGCGTCTCGCTTCTACGCTCGATTTCGCCACCGTTTTCCCGCGTCCTCGTGGCACCGATTCTCGCGCTTCACGCCTTCATGAACCAGCAAATAGTCGTAAAATACGCGCATCGATAGGCAGATCGGCACGTGTCAACAACTTGTGCACGTGCAACCCTTCAACCTTGTTCAATTTGCTTGAATTGTACTTGCGACGAGAACGATACTTTTATAACGTTCTTAAAACGTTTCTAATGTTCGAAACGATTTGACAAATCGATGAACCCAATCCACTTTTTTGATCTATTAATTTTTTTTTTTTAAGAAAATTTTAAGAGCAACAGATTATATGGATTCGATGAAAGTTGACACATATTTTTTATTTGCTAATATTCTTCTTTACGAATAAATTTAAGTGTGTTTTAATATAAATTAATTTTATAAATTTTAGAAATCGAGATCTGTACGTTCTACTCTACATTTGTACAATTTATAAATTAACTATTGTTTTTTATTTTTTCAAATATCGAATAGTATCCACTGCTAACACATGTTTAGTTAAAATCCCAAACCATTGAGACATTTATCTTAATCACGATGGCAATAAACTAAAATTGTATCCGTATACGTATATCAAAGATCATGCATCGATTTGTAAAAATCGTCAGAGAATTTCCTAGGGTTTGTTTTCGTCGAAGAAACACCTGCTCCCGTGCATTAATGAAATTCTCCCTTTCATTTGCCTCTATTTGTTCAACCTTAACCCAATATTCCCCGAATATTACAACAAAAATTCCGTAATTCCTCATTGAAACCGTAACGACGATCATCCATCTTATTAATACAATATCTCGAAGATATTACCACTTCAATTATCGATTGAATCAATGTAAAGATATTATTTGCCCTCCCCTCCCCCCCCACCCAGCCGCAGACATCTTTTTCCATTTCTTCCTTCTCGTATATTACGGGAACGTTTGCATTTTCAGCCCGAAAATTTTCATCAGACGAACCCTTTCTCTGCATTTCCCCTACCCTTCGGCAATTATTACCGGGATTCAGGATTCACGCAAATCTCGTCTTTCTCTCTTTCTCGGTTTCTCTTTCATTCAGGGGCGGAAGCTTCGGGAGGGGGGAAGGGAGGGGGGGGGGATCAGTTGGATAAGGGGGAAACAGTGCTGCGGTAGGCATCGTTTCGCTGCAGTATTGACTACACACTTCAGGGCCAGCTCTTTTCGTGGAATGTATTTTCTACAACGTTATCGCCCTTCATGCTTCTGCTCCCGCGCCGTTTCCGCCTCTGACGCAACCGTTTCAGGCCTCTCGGATTTCGATGAGGCGAATGTGGGGGAATGGCAAACGTCTAATTGCATTTTTTGACTCTGTTGATTCTACGTTATGAAAGCCTCGATGCATCTCTCGCCAGGACATCCAGTTTTTTGATTTATTACGTGGAACAAATACGGTTGAAATTTTTTTTTTTTTTTTTTTTTT